GGAGCTCATCTATCTGGTAGAATTGGTTCTAGAAGGGGCCAGTCCTGATGTCTCTGTCTCTCTTTTTTTTTGTGACAGAGTCTTGCTCTTTTGCCCAGGCTGGAGTGTGGTGATGCAATAATAGCCTACTGCAGCCTTGACTTCCTGGGCTCAAGTGATCCTCCCACCTCAGCATCCAAAGTAGCTGGGACTATAGGCATATGCCACCATACCCAGCTAACTTTTTAAAACAATTTTAAAACAAATTTTAAAATAATTTTTTTGTAGAGACAGGTTCCCACTATGTTACCCAGGCTGGTCTGAAACTCCTGGGTTCAAGTGATCCTCCTGCCTCGGCCTCCCAGAGTGCTGGGATTATAGGTGGGAGCCACTGTGCCTGGCCAAGACCTGATGTCAGTGAGGGCAAAAGATGAACCAGTGGACTTGGGGTTTGGATGGGAGTGTCTTAATTTCCACCTAAGAGCTCTCTGTGGGTACCCAGTTCAGGAACCAAATGAGCAAAGGCAAGCATGGCAAAAAGGCCATGCGGCCGGGCGCAGTGGTTCACGCCTGTAATCCCAGCAGTCACGCCTGTTAATCCCAGCACTTTGGGAGGCCAAGGTGGGTGGATCACCTGAGGTCAGGAGTTTGAGACCAGCCTCGCCAACATGGTGAAGCTCTGTCTCTACTACAAATACAAAAATTAGCTGGGCATGGTGGCATGCGCCAGTAATCCCAGACACTCAGGAGGCTGAGGCAGGAGAATCACTTGAACCTGGGAGGCAGAGGTTGCAGTGAGCTGAGATTGCACCATTGCACTCCAACCTGGGAGACAAGAGAGAAACTCTGTCTCAACAACAATGACAACAAAAAAAGGCCATGCAATGACATTTCACAATCTTGGCCATTATGGCAGAACCCCCGTTTCCCCACCATTGTCAGGTTCAGAGGAAGGGGGCAAAGGGCACAAGGAGTTGCCCATGGGTTAACAGGAGTGTAGACCAGGGTGACACCACTTTGTGGAGAGGGTCCAACGTCATATTATTTAAGGATGTTTCTCATGTGTGTCAGTTTTAAGTTACTCTGCCCCTTAATCACTGTCACTATCTACACCCTATTGTTTGTTAGGCAGGGGTACAATTACCTCTACCTCTTGTAAAAGCTCATCATGGACCGGGCGCGGTGGCTCACGCCTGTAATCCCAGCACTTTGGGAGGCCGAGGCGGGTGGATCAC